GATATTTTCAAATCCGATCTGGGCCACTTTCGTATGTGGTACTGAATCCGATACATATCCGATGTTTTAGAAAGCGACTGCTGTTTGAACGGTCAAGTCGCATTAAATCCGCCTTTTACGTCACCGACACAAGACTGAAGCCAATTATCAGGGCCAGAGAAGCGCCCGAGAAGACAACGCGAACGCTTCCTGGCCATCCAGTGTAGATGTCAGTGAAACTGTTGGGAAGACAACGTAACCATTTTATTTGTACTGTATAATCTGCAGATTCTGACAGAAATATGCAGCTATCCTTTGAAGCACCGCTCCTCTCTTAAACAGCAATAAGGATCATTGTTAGGTTATTTACATTATTATGTAAATAACAAAATAACTTAAAGCAAAAATTGGGAAACGTAAAGTCCGAAGTCTTTATATTAACGGCCATCAGTCAAACAATACTGTTGCTCTGGGTCTAAATAGAGCGCGTTGTGTGTGACATCTTCTTTTGCGCATGCGGGCCGCTTTGAGCGTTCACACTAGAGCGCGTTTGCTGTCGCATTTTATTTGTAGTGTGAACAAGCAGACAAAAAAATCAGATTTGATCAAAAAATCAGAATTGAGCATTAAGACCTGCAGTGTGAACGTAGCCTTAGACTACACTGCTTTGTAACTCCCCCCAAGGCAGGGGGTCTCAAACTGAGGCCAATGTGTTAACCACTGGCTGTGATTAAGTCTTAAATAACTAAAGCCCAAGGTGTACTTTAAAGTTTTAGGGTGGTATATATGATTTGCTCTAAGTAGATTAAAAGTGTCCTGTAGCCTTTTTTTGTTGTTCTTCAAACTCTGTCCTAGTAGTATAAATATTAATAAATCAGAAATATTAAGTAAATGCTTAACGTGGGCTTATCCTGACAGATGTACAGCACAGATTGCAATCCTCATGATTTTCATATGAACTCGCCTTCTTCCACAGATACTGCAGAACATGGTGGGGACAGCTCTCATCATCCTGGTGGCCATTGGTTTCAAAACCAAGTTAGCAGCACTGACCCTCGTAGTGTGGCTTCTGGCTATCAACTTCTACTTCAACGCTTTCTGGACCATCCCTGCCTACAAGCCCATGCACGACTTCCTCAAGTATGACTTCTTCCAGACCACGTCAGTCATTGGAGGCCTGCTGCTGGTGGTGGCTCTTGGGCCTGGTGGAGTGTCCATGGATGAGAAAAAGAAAGAGTGGTAGGCATAGGAAGCACAGCATCACTAACTTCCCCTGCCAGCTGGGACAAAAGACCCTCCCCCTCCAGTTCACCAGGGTACATAGTTGTTGTTTTTTTGTTTTTGTTTTTTTGTTTTTTAAAAATTTGTTTGCTAAATCCAGAGACGCCACCTCAGCCATCATCGGACTTTTTTTCTTTCCCCACCTGCTGATTTAGGTTTTTTTTTTTTTTTTTAAATTAGTGGGGGGTTTTTTTGGGTTTTTTTAACTTCCTTTTCTCGTGACGGCAATGATAAACGCCCGTGTAGTTCAGAGTGCAAACAACCCCCAAAAACCAGTGAATAGCAAATGGAGGAAAAGATTTATCTATTCTGTGAAGAAGAAAAGGGTTTATTTTACAGGTGTTACATGTTTAGTTAGAACTGGTTAACTGCAGCAGTTTTGGGTTTCCAGTGGATGGCGACCTTTCCCGACCATTGCATCGTTGCCGCCTGGGAACTTGGTATTGATTGAAAACAATTTTGCTCTCCAGGTTTGTTTTTTCCCCCGTTAGCCACTCTTGTCTCTCTTCCATCCGCACCATCAGTCTCAATAGACTGATGACTCCTGTTCATGGGGAGTCAAAACCGGGTGGGATGTTGCATATTGTATACTAAGTGTTGGATTGCAGTTGTGTTTTTTCAACACAGATATTAGCTCCAGGACTTGTTAATGGGCACTTTGTACTGTACGTCTTTGGCAAATGCCTAACTAGTGAACTGTTATACAATCGGAGATAAAAGCAGGGGGGGAGACTCATCGTTTGTGAAACACCATATTCTGCGACCTAGGAAAAGCAAAGAGGACTAAGCAGAGTCACTAGCCACCTGGACTTTGTCTTTGCTCAGTGTTTTTTGCCCTGTGTAAGGAAAATCTAAAAAAAAAAAAAAAAATCTGTGTATTAATTTTCAGAAGTTTATATTGTATTTTTGATCATCTTTTGTTTTGTTTTTTCTTTTGATTTTGAAATTTCATGGCAAAGAAATAAATATTCAAAAATATAAAGACACTGGCTCAGTCAGTTTTTAACAGTTATATTCTTATAAACTGGCAAATAAAGCCAAATGAATGTAAATCCTCCTTTAACAAAGTTGTGAAGTTTAAGCCTCTCCTCAGAAAACTGTAATAAGAAGTTGTTTGGACATAACCATAAAAGCACCAGTTGTTTTTGAAGTGATAAACTTTGAGTAAATACTGACCTCTGCTGGACTGTGGTGGTAAAAGTCATTCAAGACAGCGTTTGATCATTTGCAGCCATAGCGATAAAAACTTAAAACTACATATTATCAACTGGACGGGTATCACATTTTGATGGAGTCTATATTGCTGTCGTGAGTTTTAGCCACTGTTTAGGCGAGTTGGTGAACACCTCAACTCAGAAAATTAACTCTATGAAAGTTAAACTTAGATAAACTATACACAGAAATCTGATGTCAAATTAACACAGACCTCTTCAGATCTGGTGGAATTTAAAAAAAAAAAAGCATTTGCAGTCTTCTATAGCGGTGTACACTTCAGAGTTCATTCTGCGGCTTTATCAGCAATCGCATCGTCAAACAGTATTGGCCTGGTGCCACTGGCAGCCGTAAATGTAGAGTGCCCTCCACTTTTTTGGACGTACAGATACATTTAATTGTAAGACGTCATGAGTTTGTTGTCCAACATAAGAATGAGGAGAATGTGGGAGGCAGGAACAAAACCAAACCTTTTTTTTTTTTCTTTTTTTAACAATGTTCCATTTTTAAGTTCATGATATAATTGATCATGATTATTTCTGCTTTCCTTGATGCTTTCCTTTGATTGATTTTTGTTTTATTTAAATATTTTATTGTGGAAAGCTCACCTATTTTTAAACAAACAGCCATCAAACAAGGAAGTATCCTGTGTTAAGTTCAAGCTCTAACTTTTCCTCTCTTTCTTCTTTTACACTAAGTGGGAAAGTTTTCTGGTGATAGGAGCACTCTGTGAACTTCAAACATGTGTCACATTTTAAAGAAATGCAGCAAAATATATTTAACAAATACAACTTACATTTAACTTGACATGAAAACAAATATTGTTATAGATCGGATGACATGATGACACAAATGTTGCGCTAAGGACAATTGATAGATTGAAAATAACATCACTCAGTCAGAAAAGCAAGAAATACAGTATTTGTTTTGTGTCTTAGTAAGGTACAGTCATTCATTCATTCATCACTAGCAATACAGCAAAATTAGTCAGTGCTTTGTGTAGTGCAGAGTTGCACGGTGGCATGACAAATGAAATGTTCAGTATAAACTGCTGTTTACATTTACTAACACCATCTTGGGTTGTTAACTCAGCGTTTGTGTCTTTGCTCTGACTTTCTGGGTTTGAAATCTAACTTGAGAGAGTTAAAAATCTGAGGTTGGGTGAACCTCCCCCACTGAGTCCCAGACTTGATCTGATGATAATGTGTAATCGAAACATTTTTTGGGTTTTATGTGACGACACAAAAAAAATGTATAAGATCAATTTTCCTTTATGTGAGTGTTTTCAGGAAACAGGATATGCACTGGATCATGAACCCTTAGTTACCCAGAAAGATGAAAGAAAGGCTACATCTGTGCGTGTTTGGTTTTTTTTGTTTAACTTAAATTAAAGCTGCTGATCACCTAAAGCGGCTACTGGTTTATATAGAAAACAATAATGTGGGCGTTGGGTTTAAACTCCACTAATGCGTATTATTATTGCATGGACTATATCATGAGGTTTAGCCACAAAAAGCTCAGACACAGATAAGACTTTATTTAATTCAACACTGCCCAAACACTCCGCTGGCAAATGACTTTTTAAATCTGATAGACTCTTTTAATGTTGTTCAGTCAGTCAACTGCCCAACACATGAAGGGGTCATACTTTGGATTAGGTCTTATCTTGCGGCCTGTCACTTCTTGACAATGAAATCTAATAACATTATTAGATATGTCGAAAAGCGGAACGAAAGTGGGGAAAAGGACCAATTACAGGTATCGTTTGAGGCACTTAATCCTTGTCAACTAACCAGAAAGCCATTAAATCAGCAAAAACTATTTTAATACTAAGTATTTTTCTAAAATTGTGTCCAATAATCATCATAAACCTTGTATTTTATTTGGCATTATAAATTCAGTTCTTAATCCACCCCCTATCGATCCCCATACAGTAGTGAATATAATATGCGAAAATCTTCTGAAATTCTTCGTTAATAAATTGTAGACATCAGGTCCCACATTATTCTTATCTTTCTTGGTATTCTTCCTACTATTGACCCATTTATTCACTTTCCAACTTTTGCTGTTTTTGATCACTTCGAGCCAGTGTTACATTCACTACTTAATGAAATAGTTAATAACTTGAAACCTTCAAAATGTTCTTGGATGTCATTCCACCTAGATTGCTGAAAGATGTTTTTGACACTGTTGGTATATGTTTGCTCTTCATTGCAAATAGCAGTCTGCAGTCTGGGTCTGTTCCCCCTGACTTTAAACATGCTGTGGTGGAACCTATCCTTAAAAAGCAGAACCTGGACTCAACAGTTCTATCAAATTATAGACCAATCTCCAAATTGCCCTTTCTGTGAAAAGCTCTGGAGAAAGTTGTCCTCCAGCTCCAGACCTTTTTATATAATCACGGCATCGGTGAAGTATTCCAGTCTGGTTTTAAAACGCATCATAGCACTGAAACTGCTACCGACTCGGGAGATTCCGCTGTTTTAATATTACTAGATCTCAGTGCTGCTACTGAAACGGTGGATCATAGGATTCTTATCTCCCGGCTGGAACAATATGCCAGTATTAAATGGATTGCATTGGAATGGGTTAAATCTTACCTATCTAATCGATGCTTCTCTGTTAGATTCAGAGACACATCATCCTCAAGGACGTCGCTCTTTTGTGGGTCCCTCTGGGATCCATTCTTGGCCCGGTTCTCTTCTTAATTTAAATGCTTCCTATGGGCTCTATTTTTTTTAAAAATAATATGGTGTCCCTTTTCACTGTTATGCTGTTGATTCACAGATCTACCTCCCACTGAAACGCAAATCTGTGAACCCTCTGAAGAGACTGTTCGATTGTCTGGAAGATTTTAAGGCATGGATGGTTTTAAATTTTCTCAATTTAAATGAACAGAAAATTGAGATCATTGTCTTCAGCCCTAGTGACCATTATGACCTTGGCCCCTTAGAAAATTATAAAAAATCATTTGCGAGAAATTTAGGTGTGATTTTTGATAGTAATTTAACATTCGATAAACAGATAAATAATGCCTTTATTTCATCTTGCCTCAACTTCTGCAACAGCCTCTACTCTGGTGTTACTGCGTCATCAATTGGCCGACTACAGCTGGTTCGAAATGCTGCGGCAAGGCTCCTGACTGGCACGCGCAATCGAGAGCACATATCCCCTATACGGTACTTAGTACACCGGCTGCCAGTTAGTTTTCGAATTGATTTTAAGATCTTGATACTTGTTTTTAAAACATTGCATGGACTAGCTCCTATATATCTTTCTGATCTTCTAAATTGGTATATCTTTGAGGTCTGCGGACCAAATACTTCTAGTTGACCCTAGGTCTAGATTAAAACACAGCCCGGAGACTGGGGTTTTGCTGTGACTGCCCCGAAACTGTGGAATAAACTGTCTTTACATATCAAGACCTCTCCAACACTGGATACTTTTAAAACTTGTCTAAAGACCCATTTTTGCTCCTTGCCTTTTAAGCCGGTATGAGTCTTTCATTGTTTTATTCTTATTTTCTTATCCTTGATTTTACTTTCTTTTTAGATTTCATCTGATTATTCTACTTAACAATACTTTGGTCAACAGTTGTTGTTTTAAAAGTGCTATGTAAATAAAATTGATTTGATTTTGAACACTGGCAAGTTCACTTGTTACAGCAGCACAAGGGACAGGAAGAAAAGGTGGATTAGAGAAATATTAGAAAAACAATAAAAATAGAAAAAGATAAATAAGAAAAGTACAAAAAACCCCAAAATACCATACTATGTATAAATGGTTACAATATACATTAAAATACACAAAGACTTTCCCTTTTTAGATGTAAATAAAGTGCACACAAAGCAATATAT